TATTCCTAATTGCACTTGTAAATCTCTACCTAGCAAATTACATCCTACCCCTGGCATTAACAACAAATCATTAACAGCATATTGATCTTCCCCTTGTATTAACACATTCTTTATAACTGGGACCAAAAACCCCTTCACCTTTAGCCCCTACAGCCCAAGTTGTATCTTTTACATAATCTTCCTCCTGGGGTCTTAATTTCAAATTTATCAAGGGCTCTTCTGTTGGTATATCCCCCAGGAGGTAGAGTCCCTGACACTCCTAGTGATTACCACCCTCATCCTGTTGGGTTACTTCAAACACCAACAGGTCCCGTATTCTCTGGGGGCATTCTTGTTTATAATGCCCCCCCTTCCCACAATGAAAACATTCCCTTGTGATTTCCCTAGCCAGTGGTGCCTCTTGGTTCCGCCTCCCCTTTCATTCCCTTGCCTGTTTCAAATTTGTGATCTCCCGTCTGAGATTCCTTGTGTTTGTTTCTAACAGCTTCTTGTGCAGTTATCATAGTTTTAGCTTTAGTTTTAGCCTCTTCTTCATCCTTCCTAATATCTACTTTCTGTGCTTCTCTCAGGAGTTCCTCCAGACTCTTATTATAATGACCTAGAGTCACTCATATCTCTCCTCCGCTCTTGTTCATTCTGATTCCACTGCAGAGGGGTTACAGGGAGTTTCCTTTCCCCGGGTATCCCCTGCTGATTTTCTCTCTCCCATATCCACATTCCAACCGTTCTGATCATCTGTCTTTCTTCAGGAGAGAAAAAAAAAATTCCCGTAATCGACTGCATCTCCTCCCATGTATATATATACTGGGTCCCAAAAATTGATCAGTCTTCTCTGACAGCCCCACAGGGTCCTCTAATAACCTCCTAAATTCATTCTTATACGCCCTCACTTTTACATTAGTGAGCGGCACATCCACAAATCCCATCCCCCCTTGAATTCCTGCCGCTGGGACTTCCCCGCAAGGGATTAACCCTAGCCGCCCCGTGCTCCCTTAAACGATTTCCCTTAAATCATGTACGAGCCGATATTTCCCATTTGGTTTCTTTACAGGCAGAATGGGGGTGTTAAAGGGTGACATACAAGGCTCTAAGATTCCTTGTGCTAATAATCGATCAATTTCTGGTTTTAATCCTCTCCGTCCGTCTAGGGAAATGGGATATTGCTTTACCCTCACAGGTATGTGGGGTTCAGAAACTTGGATTTTAATCGGTGGGATTTCCAGTCTACTAATTGTGTCCGGAGAGTTCCAGACATCGGGGTTAATTTGTTTTTGCTCATCCACGGTCAAAGGATAAGTAGACACTGTTAGCTCTTGATTTTTCACTTTAATTTCTAATTGTAATTCAACAATTAATCTCGTCCTAGCAGATTAAATTCTGCTTCAGGGACGAGCAAGAGTTCACCCATTCCAAATTTATTTTCAGTTTCGAATACCACATTTTGATTTTGTTTACTTTAAATGGTTCTCCTTTTGCCCCAATTACTTGTACTTTTTTTCGAGGAAATTTTACATCCCTCAGGTATTTGTTTAATAGTCGATTTTTCAGCCCCAGTGTCTACTAAAAAGGTGAACTCTTGTTTATGGGGACCTATTTTTAATTTTATCAAGGGCTCATGATGACTCCGGTCCCCTAAGATATAGAGCCCCTGGCTCTCCTATTCCGTTTTCAATATTTCCTCATCCCTGATCCTTTCTCTGCAATTCTTCTTTATATGTCCCTTCTTTCCACAATAAAAACAACATCTCTGTTCCTTCTTTACTACTACGTTCCCTTGTTTCATTCCAGCAGATCTGTGTTCACCAGTTCATCCTTTACGGTCCTCTCTGACCGCTGCTACCATCATTTTTACTTGTCACTTGCTGCTCTCTTTCTCTCGCCTTACATAGACTTTCTGAGCTTCTCTCAATAATTCATCCAACCCTCTATTCTGCCAGTCTTCTAACTTTTCAATCTTCTTTCTGATATCTTCCCATGATTTTGCCACAAACTGAGTTTTGAGGAGTGCTTGCCCTAAAGGGTCGTCTGGATTTATCCCAGAATACAGCTGAAGGGCTTTCCTCAGTCGTTCCAGCCACTCAGTAGGGCTCTCATCTTTCTTTTGCATTTCATTAAATGCTTTATTAATATTCTGGCCACAGGGTACTGCTTCTCTAATTCCCTGAATTACTATAGTTCTCAGGTCCTGCATATGAGTTCTATGCACCGGATCCTGATTATCTCTATTAGGTCTTTGGAGTGGCCATTTAATATCCGCTTGAGGTCCCTGGGCATGTTGAGCATCCCACAGTCTCATTCCTGCTCGTCTAATCATATCTCTTTCCTCGGTAGTAAATAATTGACCAAGGATAGATTGCATCTCATCCCAAGTATAAAGGTTTGGTCCAAAAAATTGATTTAATCTTTCTGCCACTCCGAGTGGGTCCTCAATTAAGTTTCCCATCTCGGTTCTTTTAAAATCTCATAGGTCAGCCGAGTTTAGGGGTACGGAAATATATCCGATCACGGGTTGAGGTCCCCCCATGGGTATTTCCCTTAGGGGGTACATCTGAGCTGCCCCTTTTTGGCTTCTAGTTACACGTCTAGGAGGAGGGGGAGACTCTTGTTCCGACTCCGGTGGGGGAGTGGGCGCTCTGGGGACCTCTGGAGGGGCTGTGGGAGCAGGAGGGGAAATGTAAGGAGGGGGGGTTAGAAGGGTTTCGTCTAACCCTTCCTTCTTTTTCTTTTGTTTAGTTTTTATTTCATTCAGTGGGTAAAGTCTAGCTCCCGGTCTTTTTAGCCACACTCCCGCATACTGACTTTCTTCCGGGTTAAGGGGTTTTTTATTATTAACCCAGAGATTTAATTGTTGCCTTATCCAATCTTCTTCTGACCCGCAGACTGGCCAAAAGACATTTTTAGAAATCTTCTTCCCTCCCCATATCTTAGTACAATATTCTATCATTTTCTGCTTATCTTTCCCTAGTGTTCCAGGGAAATATCTCCAATTGTCTAAGATATATGCCAGAGGGGTATTCTTAGGTACAGTGGGTACCCTTCCCATGGGAGTCGAAGGCTTGCTGCCCTTCGCCCCCATCTTCTGGATTATCCACAAACACACACTCACTCACTCCCCTTGTTCCTGGCCCAGTCCCTCGCGGGAAATGGGAAACGCAGTACTTAAGGGTCCGCACTCGCTTGGTTCAGTATATCGAACCTCTCATTCGTTATAATCCAGGAAACCCAATCCCGCCCGAACGGTAAACCCGCGAACAAATTCGCAATATACTTACGCATCCTGCGTCTTCGTCCGGACTCCCGTGCACAGAATTTTTATGGGATTTTACCGGTTTCTCCTTTGCTCATTATTCTAGAATTTAGGTTCGTCGGTAAGGATGGGGTGGGCTATCAGTCGCGGGGCCGCGGATTGCCGCGGGGCGCCTCCCCGGAGGACAGAAGCCCACCGTTCCTTATCCGAGTCACGGCACCATGAAATTGTTATAAATTGAGACCACAATGGATCATAATCCAATTATAATTTTATTAATTATAGCAAGTAGAATATGAGCAAAGACAGCGCTGGACGGCAGGGGAGTCTGCGCTCCGCCAACTGCCGTACTGATCAGTTCAAACAGTTCCTTTTTATACATTTTTACATTCGTGGTTGTCTTTGATCAGTACCCCCTTCTGCTTGCACAAGTATCTGGTTTGTGTAAGCAATTGAGGTCATCTTATCTCACGCAGTCATCTTGTCTCACAGGTTATCTTGTCTCACACAAGCGGTGTCTGGCCGCTATTTGCATAAGCAGTTTTTTGTCTTTTGCCGCCTAACCTTTACATTGAGCTTAACATAAATTTCAATAAACAATACCCTTAGTTCATAGTTTATTACAGTCAGACATGAAGGAGGGAGTTCTCTCTCACTTCTGGATTATGATTTTGGGATCTTGGTTTTCTTTGGGATCACTAGCTAGGAACGGGCTGGGTAGCAGTCAGCGGGTGGTGAGCAGTGGCATTGTTCATTACCTGTTTGTACTTTCTGTTATTGTTATTGTTTTATTTCAATTATTAAATTGTTTTTATCTCAACCTATGAGTTTCCCTTTAAGAAGTTTTCCACTTCTCTCCCTCATCTCCTGGGAGGGGGGAGGGTGAGCAAGCAGCTGCATGGTGTTTGACTGCTGGCTGGGTTCAAACCATGACAGTAGGTTATTGAAACAACAACTGAGGGTTCTACTTTGGGCAGAAGAATTAGGTGGAACCCCAGAGCTCAAGTGACTAATGCTGCTAACTTGTACACTGGTGTGAAGTAATGTGGTTTAGTGTTGCACTTGGTTTCCCCAGCTTTGGAGGTAGGGTGAAATTAGATGTGCTTATCCCTCCCTGCCCATCTGCACCGGCATTAAGGAGCCATCAGGGTTTTTATGTATCCAGCAATCTCAGGAATGACAAGATGTTTGAGAGAGATTTCTAATTAGGAAAAACAGCCATCCCCCAAAGCATGCATGCACACCTGTTTGCACACACGCACATGTATATCTATACGTACACTTGCACACACACACACACAGAGTAGAGTTAGTTCTGTCATGTAAGTGGGAAGCGTTGGGAGGGCAGAGCAGGTAGAATGGCAGTGCCTCTGCAGCATGAAGTCTCCTGACCAGTGGTGGTCAGCCAGGGCAGGGGAACTGCAGGTGCCATGGAGGGTCTTGCACAAGCAGGCAAGGAAGTGCTTCCTGTAGGAATTTACTGTAATAGCAACACAGAACAAGGTTAAGGCCTGAGGCACTTTCTCAAAACATTCCACTTGCCAGTGAAAGGGCCTCATCAGCCTGGGACCCAGCCCAGCTTCCAGTGAAGTCAAAAGCAATACTGTCAGCTTGTCCCAGGGTGCAGAGCAGAATCACTTCTGGAGCGCTGAGTGTGTGTTGGGTTTAGATTGGATGTCGATGTTGAACAACTTCCGTATTAACTTGAGTTGAAAATAAGAGGACAACTGCTTCCTTCCTTTTTTATTTGCAGGCTGCGATTCTCTGAAAGTGGCAAGGAAATCTTCACTGCTTCTCCCCCACACCCTAGAGGGAAATGGCTTCTCCAACATTTACAATGGTAGATTTGGGTGCTGCAAAGACAAATTAAACCCTTGTCTCAAATCTTCCTCTCTCAAGCCTCTCTATTTTGGATGAAGTTATTTGAACTGTTTGACATCTACATTTTTCTAGTTGTTTCCTAACCTGTCCTGTTGTCCCTGGCAGTGACTCCTCAGTTTTTTTACCCTCCAACTTGTTCTGACAGTAGCAAGGTTTGAATACCATGAAACTGCTTTTGTATTGCTATCGCCTTCTTTTTGAATAAACTGCTATAAAACTGCTATAGAACTTTTATACTCCTGTCTGTTTAGAACGTAGGAATATTTGTTGTTCCGAAAGGACCTGATTCAAATCCCAGTATCTCAAGAGGGGTTTTTCCCTTGAGAAATAGTGCACTGGATGAAGCTATGATTTATAAATGAATAAATTTTAGTTACAGACAGACCATGATGGCCATGAAAGGCAGCAGCCTATCCTGCTCATTCTATCTTGGAACTTAACTGCACAAAGCAGTTACTGAAAAAAGCCTATCAAGTCTTCCTGCAGGTAATGTTTTTAGAAAGGCATCCAGGCCTGATTGAAAGAGTAGATACACATCTCTGAAGTCAGCTGTGCTGATTAGTACACGTTAATAGCTGCACTGGGTTTCTTTTTATTTTATACTCAGAAGCAGACTTTTTTTTTTTTTTAATCAAGTATTATTTGACTTGAAGGAATATATGGGGGAACCTTGTGAGCACCCAGTGCTAGCTTATTAATACCCTTCCAAATTTCCTGACATTGCTGCAATGGAAGGCTACTGTTCTTGACAATAATAATCAGATAAAAAAGAATAATCTGTTTTAAATAAGCAGCTAAAAATTCTTTTTAATCTCTCAAAGAATTATGATTTAATTCCCAGGGGAAATTCAGGGATTCACAATAAAGTGAACATATGGCTCATTTGCAGCTGCATGGGCAACATTTGGCTGTATTCGGCACTCTGGTTTTCAGAGAATGAACACCCAGAGGAAAGCGAAATATGTACTTCAGACTTGCATTAATATACTTTTCCCTATTACATCAGAACTAGCAGGATTCAGCTGTATCAGCATCTAATATTAAACACTGTTAGAACTGCAAACTATACAGTAAGTGGTAGCAGTGGGTAAGATATTTAGAAAAATAGAGTAATTTAATTCTCTTTCAGGAGAATATTGAAATTTCACTTTGATATTCCTTTACCAGACTGTTTTGAAAAGCTTATTTCTTCCTGTAGGATTTGAAGAATGCATCTAAAGTTTTAATTGCTTAGTTTCTATTAAGTTACAAGAAGTAATAAAGAAATTAATTATATTTAATAATAGGGTTAGTCTTTTGGCAGACAGTTCAAGGTGGCATGGATGTTCAGAGATGCATGATAAAAAGGCACGATTATACAGTGGGGACTATTTCCAACTGCACATTTGTATATGTATATGCATCATATCGTATATCTACTTAAATGATAATCCCTGGTTCTTATGGATTTGTGGGTATCATTTGCGGACAGAAGGAAAAGAAAGAAAACTTAACAGTCAGTCCATACTCCTATCTAAGATCTTGGAGAATCTTGCTGATTTCGTACCTGCAAACCATGGATCTGTTTATTTTGAAAATGTTAGAAATATTATGAAAAGGTTTTGTTTATTTGGATGAAGAATAGTATGTGTGGGGTAGACATTCAAAGCAGAAACCCTGTAGAACTGCTAAATATTCCTAAAGTGAATGGCACTATTTCACTGAGGAAAGCAAACAAACAGGGTATTCTAGTCAGAATCCAGCTCAGCCACAGGAAAAATACAGGTTTATCTTTAGGCAAATAGGGTCTATTGATATGGATTTTGCTATGCTGGCTGAATGAAGCAATGAAGTGCCTTAAAATTACACATGGAAACTCTTAACACTTGATCTTGCTCCTGTATGTGTCCTTTCCACTTTTCAATAACTTCTGTCTCTGATCATGGAAAGCCTTGAGCTTGGTAGGCAGGAGACACAAGAACAGTATCTAGTTATTCCATTGTAGTATTATTAGTGGCTGTACCTAACCACTGGCAAGGCTTGGCTGTCTTTAATTTTTTTTTTTTTTCGCGATTGTGTGTCTTGTGAATTTACATTTCCACTCTACCACAGGCTGATATCTCCTGTTTTAGTGGCTTAAATCAAAGAAAGAGAGGTGTAATTTAGTTCCTGTTGGACATATTGATTCTGCATCCCTCTTCATCTGTCACCCAGATATTGGCATCTACATTGACATAGCCAGACCCAGTTGTGACTTGATGGCGCAGCTTTTAAATGGGCAGTTTATTAATTTGAAATTGGTGATAAGTATACTAAGCACTAACAGTGGGCTGCATTTATAAATTTAACAAATTGTTTCATATGGGGCTTTTGGATGCAAGACAAAGTTAAACTTGATCTAATCAATTTAAGTCCTGATTCAATCCTAAATATGTTGTCTCTAACAAGAGGTGCTATGAACTGGGCCTGGTAGCAAAACCAAGATTCCTGCAAAGAATATTAACTGACTTGGAAAGTAGAAACCAGTGACACTGATGGTGTTTGAGGCAACATGACCATCTGGATCTCCAGCTGTAGAATACAGGCCTTACCCTGGTAACAGCAGAGACAAGTGGGCCACAGAGCCAAGAGAAAGCTCACACCGTTCTGGCATATGAGAAACCCTTTTTTGAAGAAATGTTCCTGAATGTGAAGTGCATGTGCTGAAATCCACACGTGAAATACCTTGGGCACACCTGAAAGAAAACTGCAGATTTGAGTTTATAAACTTCTATAAGGAGTTAATGCTGAAATCTAGAAGTAAGAGTTCCAGCATTATTTGTTCTTCAACGCCAGTGCATTTTTGCCAGAGTATTATGATGCTGTGTCTGGAACAGGAATGTCATTCATTTAAAACACTGCAACTGGAAATAGCTGTAGAGACAGCTGTCAAAACAGAAGAATGGGCAGCACACTATAAACACATAATTCAGATGAGGAAATTATGAAATTGTGGGGTTTCAGTTATACATCACTCGGAGCTTTTGTTGAGACTTTTTCATCAGAATATTCCATTTTTGTATTTTTTTTTTTTCCTTAAGGAAGCTTTTTGAAGTAAAAGATCAGCTTTATATTTTCAACGCAATTTTGAGGACTTTCAGAACAGTCATGGAATTTCAGCATCCTCAGTATGAGAAATGAGGTATTGTGGTTTAAAACAATAAAGGTATATTCATGACACCAATCTGCAGACTCATAATTTAACCACTTAAATCAGGTGCTCAGTCTTTTTAGGCCCTGTCTACCAGAGGAGAAAGGTTCCTGCTCTTCAAACATTCTCTGAAGATAATACAGGCTTGGGAAGCTCAGTCACTTCTGTCAATTTTTTGAGTTTTTAAAGAGAAAGATAATAAGAGTGTGCTCAGGCAGATGAGTATCTTAGTTTGGGTGAGGCACGATTAAAAGAGGTAATGGAAAAATCTTGCCTGTCAGAAGTTTTTGTTTTATCTTTAAAAACAACATCGAGTTCTTTTGCAAATCAAGAAAGATTATTTTAGAGGAGTCAAAGGACTAAGGCAAGAAATGCTCATAGTTTTACCCTCAAATAAATGCAGAAATTTCAAGGATACTGCTTGTGTGGTTTTTTTCTCTCTTCCTCAGTCCAATGGAAATTTAATTTAAAATGAACACCAAATAGTCCACATATACATGAACAACTCTGTTAGCTGAGTATTAAGGAATGACTGAATTTAAGTAGTATAAGAGGAGGTAAACATTTTCTCATTTTTACTTCAGTTAATTTACAGATGGGGGATATGCAACCTGTACAAGCTGATCTTTCCACTGAATCACTGATCTTCATCCATGGCAAAGAAAAAAAAATCCCTACAGAAATAATTTTGAGCATGTGACACCAATCTGGGAAACTCCAGAGTTTCATCATATCAGTCAGATTTCAAAAACTTGTCTTTGGCCACAGCCATTTAGTCAGAAGCAGTATCCTCCATTTAATGCAGATGTCTAGAAGGTTCCAAAAGATAAGATTATGAACTTCAGTATTCTGATAGTGCCTGAAATTTTTTATATAAATAGTAATTAAAATTGGTAATTTATCTGTACACCACAGTCCTAGTAAATAAGGTTTAGATTTGTGTGCCATTAAAGGAAACCTGTCATAATTTAGCTATGTTCAGAATCATAGTCACCGATCCAAAATAATTGTAATTTTTCTGACCATTAAGAAAATAGCTTCAAGGAAGATTATGGTTATTACAGATATTTTTAAATTGCCATTCAATGAAAAATGTCATTTAGAATGAGCGTGACTGCCAGTGCTCACAGTGCAGAAGAGATTTTTTTTTTTTAAAAAGAATCCCCAAGTGACTGAAGATATATATTTTTTTAACAGGAGTCTTCGCAATTTGCAAGTTTACAGGTAGCTTTATATGTTTAAAGCTTCAGACACAACCATGAGGTAACAGATGCATGCTTGAAAAAAAAAAAAAAAACGCAATTACAAACTTTAGTTAAGTGTTTTTTAAACATCCCATGTTTAAGGCCCTATTTTGTTCTTATTTTTCAACGAGACTAACAGATACACAGTGTTTACAGAACTTGAATGAAGCAAAAATATAGCCTTCTGCACTGTATAGTACATTTAGATAATGGTAACAGTTAAGATTATCTGGAGCTTTATACTTCTACTATGCTTTTAATCATTGAAGAATGTGGCTTATCCTGTCTGGTGATAGGCTAGGAGGAAGATAACATAGGGAGTTAATTTTGTGGAATGTCTGAGTCTCATTTCCATTTGGGCAATACTGAAATTGCTTGAAAATGAGATGTGAACATCCCCCACCTCCATCTGTGAACAGCCAGACCTTTTCACCTCTGGCTATGTATGTCACACTTTGTGCTAAAATTACATTTCCAGGGGAACTGTGGTATGTTGCCAGAGTTTATCCACATATACATCAGTGTGTAAACTCTGCTCTGATACCAGTGACCTCAGTCCTCCCTTACTTGTCAGTCTCACACCAGGTCAGTGATTGCTGTGCAGAGGGGAAGAAGCAGTGATCTGTAGATGCAGAACAAGCAGGGGAAATAGACGGCAGAATGTCTGCACCCACAGGGCCTGCCTTGCATTCAGTTATGTTATCGCAGAAGCAGATACACCAAGGAAAACGGGTGGCATTTAGAGCTTTTCACTGGGCACTTAAAAAACTGTGTTCTTGTGCCACACAACACAGAAATTATCTTCTCGGTAGTATACAAGCTATAGGGAGAGTGATAAAGATAGTGAAGAATGTAATTAAGCTTAAATCTGTAAAGCCACTTAACTCTACAGTACTTCCAATGCAGCTAGGAGAATGACAGTCTAAATGGTAATTTGTGTGATAGCAGGTTGGCAGGAATTGAAAACATTTCTTTGAAGATTATCTGAACTGACCAGGTTACCAGAATCTTTCGTTTACTCTTGACACACAGAGACATTGTGCAACATTTTATTGTGTTCACCAAAGCAAACAGGAGTCGGTAGGCGGGAGGTAAGGAGGGTGGGGGGTGGGAGAGGCAAAAACATATAAAGGGAACTGCATGTGCCTGTCCTGTGTTTTTATTTCACATTTTCTACAAGGTTGAGGAATGCAAAATGAAGCTATTCTTCCTAAGTTACTTGCTGGTTTCTTGCTGTTGCCAAGTTGGGGCAGTGAACAGGGAGTACTACATCGGTATTATAGAGACAGCATGGAACTATGCACCTGGCAATACCAATATTGTATCTGGACAGCTTTTTGAAGAAGAAGAGTAAGTAAAACAGTTTACACTGTTTGAGTTTGATTTTACAACATTGTCTGCTTTAGACTGTAGGGCCAGACTGAAAAACCTTGTGAAGGCAGTGAAATGAATCATGTTGGTGTCAGTGGATTTTCTGTCAGATATGAAAGGGAATTTTGATTTTTTTCCTGCCCTTCTTGAGAATTGCATTCCGATGCTCTAATTAAAAGGATTGGAATATGTAGGGGTTTTGTGAATTTGTTGCAATAAAATGTTTACTAAGTGGAGACTAGCAAAAGTCCCTGAATGTCTAATGATGTTTAATTTTGAATGGCTAAGATGCCAGTGCTGAAAAGAAGGCTTTTGCTGTTATGTTTTTAAACACAGAAGTTTGACAAATTTTAAACCCTCCTATTGGGCACAGCTTTCCTTTTCAGATATTTGTTGTTGTCAGTGGGCATTTTCACTTGTGCAACAGTACAGTTGGGTCCTTCCAGTCACAGTGGAGGAGCTGGGTTGTTTTTTACAATGCAAGGAGGGTCCTGTGCAGAATAAGAGTGATAAGTAGGATGAGGGTAAGTATGGTGAGGAGGAGGGGAGCATCCTGAAGATATGAATAATCAGTAAAGAAAACAGAGATACAAAAGGCATAAGAGAAATATTTGAGAGAGGAAAAAAATGTTCCTTCCTCTATTTTTTCAGTGCCTTTAAAATGAAATAAGACTATACTAAGATAAAAGCAGTGAAGAGAGAAATAAAAAATTGGAAAAATCTCAAAAATACAGTTCTCATTTAGACTGTAGATGAGGGATTAGAAGGTTTCCTGTGGTTTGTTTTCCCTAGTGAGCACAAACAATATCTCAGCCATAATCTGCCACTTCATCAGACATGAGATGAAGCAGTCAACTTTTTTTTTTTTTAACTCATAAACTGCGTGACATGTAAGGCACTGCCAGTGATTCAGCAGACTAGTAATTCTGATAAATGGTGGAAGAAGTGCATCTTGTCTGAAAATTGCAGAGCAGTGTATTAATACAACAAGCGACCACCATTCACTGTACTTTCACTGCTTTTCTCTGCTATGTGACAACCTGCAGCATGCTAAATTAATTCCAGTTTTTCAGTGGCTGTATGCCTGCAATGGAGCTAGTAGCCTTTACCGTACTTTTCATTTTCAGCTTCCCCAATTCTTCTTCTCCTCTTGAGCCCTTCAACTATGAGGCTGTGCTTGTACAGAGGTTGATATTTATAGAGGCAGGGAAGAGCAGGAGACGGGAAGAATGTTGTACTTGCTAGAAGGAATACTCTACAATTAAATGATAGCTGTTCAAACAGTTCAAGAAGAGCCATAACATATTTGATTTAATTTGTGGCTAAAAAGCTTCCTGCACTCAGACTTCCAACAACTGAGCCTTTGCAACTAAATTTATGCTCTCCAAATTTCATGGAGCTCTGAATTGGCATTTTACTTACACTTTGAATCTTTACTTGCCAAGGTACAAACGATTCCTTCCCCGCATTCTCAGTGTTCAGCCTTGTGGGAAATACTTTGTATTTTGGGGCATCATTAGCTAGCTTCACATATGGCCTGCTGGGAATATGACGCCAAGTTGGCTTGGTTTCTCATAATGTAAAATGAGAAATCAGGGGGCTGCTGGACTTCAGGCAGTATTGCCTTATCTCCCAGGATTGCTTCCTCCTGGAATAGGTTTACTTTCACAGCTAGTCCTCCTGAAATGAGCATGGAAATTTGCAGGAGGGTTTGTTGTTAGAGAGACTAGAGTTTGGGCTAACAGCACCAGCCAACAGTAGCACTATGGGTTTGAACAGCCAGTGCTGGCAGTTTCTCTTGCCATTGCAGTTAGCAAATACAAACACTTTTTCCATGAAGATAACTCTTCTCAGAGACTAAAATATTTAATGGAAGGTACCTGACCCTCAGCACAGGCAAAGGTTGGCCACAAAGCTGTTTCCAGCTGATAGTTGTCAGAGACAGCTGGGGACCCCGCGCCCGCTGCTGGCGGTACTTGGGTAGCATATCCACAAAAGCTGCACAGCTCAAACATATCGATACTACATGTAGGAAAGACCATCTCAGTCTGTCTCATAGCTCATGGGCTAGGCTGTTTCCTTGCTAACCAAGCTCTCATTTTTAATATAAGTGTTTCATTAATTGAGAGGAGCAATGGTCCAGTAGTTACGGCACTTAGGGATTGTAGAAGTCATTGCTAATTCCTTGCTCTCATGTAATCTATTTGTATATTCTTGGGCCGAATCTGTAAAAATGAGATTTTACTAGGGTAAAGCCATATCAAGCTCTGAGGTGGTAATTCTTCTTCATCTATGACTGGTGAGCAAGCTGAGGGCTTGGTCTCGCTCATTTCAGCCCTCTGCATGCCCCCACCCTGTACATTCTGGATGTTAGCAGCACCTTGTAGTTTTGCTCATGTCTAGACATCTTAAATGTAT